ACAAAATGCATATTGTCACGGGGTTGTCTGTGTGTGTGTGTGTGTGTGTGTGTGTGTGTGTGTGTGCCCCACATTTTTTCTCGCACTTTCAACTCGGGAACCACAAAAGCTAGGCGGCTGAAATTTTGGTATAGTGTTCCTCTCCAACGGGTGACGCGGCAAATTTAAATCCAGCCTTTCCTTACCCGCGGGTAACTTGTACGGCCCCATGAAAGTTTTTTACGGGTAAATGAATATCTCAGGAACCACGGAGTCTAGGAGGCCGAAATTTTAGGGCAAGGGCCCCCTATCCACGCTCAACCTTGCCCATTCAAATTCAGCGTTCTCGCACTCTCGGGTACCACCTACGGCCTCGTAAAAATTTTAGCGGGTAAACTGTTAACTCGGGAATCACAGAAAGATATTCATCCTTCAAGGTTTCCAATTCACTTTTCATGCGCTGGTGCGTGAAATTTTTAACTGTTTTCCAGTGTTTGAACTATTTCTGCATAGACTAAAGTACAAAGCAGTGAAAATCATTAATAGGCAGTCGTTCGATGGGCTGAATTGCATAGAACGCATAATCGCACCGGCTAGTCTACTGCGCGTTGCTATTCATTAGGTTTTATTTTGCTGAACATAGAGGGCTGCAGTTTCTTGCCATGCTTCTTTTTCAGTAAAATTAAAGGGTCGCAAAATTTGCGTTATCCAGTCGATGCACTGACGGAATTTGTTGAATTAGTCTGGAATTCCGTTTTTCTGTGTTTCAGTTCCGCTGTTATGGCGCAGCACGAATCCGATCAGATTTCGTCCGTTGATCGCTGTGTTTGTTTGTACGAGATCAACAATGGGCTGGTTTATGGTACTGTTGAACAGTTGCGTGAAATTGAACAGAACGAATTGGTAGGATGCTGTGTTATGTGTTTTTATCACTAGTCATTTCATGTAATTCATCAAATTATGTTCATTGTTCGTTCGCTTGAGAATGGAATTGGTAGCCTGATAAGTTTATCAATAAGACCTTCAATCCATGCCTTTTTTTATGTGTTTTGTGCTGTGCAACAGCAGCACAAAACGCATATTGTCACGGGTTGTCTGTGTGTGTGTATCCGCAGCAACTTGTCCGCAACTTTCAGCTGGGGAACAACAAAAGTTAGGAAGCTGAAAATTTAGGGCAACGTTCCCCACACACGTGTGACCTCGCAAATTTAAATTCAGCCTTCCCGTACCGTCGGGTAACACGTGCGGCCTCCGTGAAAGTTTTTTACGGGTAAATTAATATCTCGGAAACCACGAAATCTAGAAGGCTGAAATTTTAGGGTAATGATCCACTGCCCGTGCTCAACCTTGCCCATTCAAATTTAGCGTTCCCGCGCTCTTGAGTATCACCTACGGCCTCATGAAAATTTTGGCGGGTAAACTACTAACTCGGGAATTACGGAGAGATATTCACTCTTCAAGGTTTCGAATCAGCTTTTATACGCTGGTGCGTGAGATTTTTAACTGTCTTCCAATGTTTGAACTATTTTTGCATAGACTGAAGTACAAAGCAGTGAAAATCATTAATAGGCAAT